TTAATCATGAATTTTTATTTTAAATTATTCCTTAAATTTATTTATATATTTTACAATTAGAAATATTAGTTACGTTTGTCATGACAAATTTACATGAAATATGTGCAAAATCAGAATGTCAACTTTGAATTTAAATGAAAGGATTGCCGCGGAATTGTGATGTTGGTTACACTGTATTTAAATGGTCAACAACACAAAAATACTAAAATATTGAAAATTCCCTATGCATTCTTTTCATATATCTATGTTTCCATAGATCATAATCTTTCAGTTTGTGAGTTCCCTGTGGCATCTGTAAACGTAAGGGTTATTTCTAAAATTTCTTAATTTTGTTTCAACATCCTTTTACATTATTTATTAAACATATTGTGTTTGAAGATATTACGTTTATTCCACCTAAGTGTAGACCTTATTTTTATTTTTTAATAACACCTTTTATTGAAATATATAAACCGCAGTATTGTAATCACATGAAAAAATTTCATAATGAGATCGTATATTAAAATGTATTTAATTACAGGTTAACGTAACACAAATAACGTAAAGATGTCGGGAGGTTTGGATGTTTTAAGTTTAAAAGAAGATGATGTTACTAAAATGCTTGCTGCATGTACCCACTTGGGTACTTCAAATGTAGACTTTCAAATGGAACAGTAAGTTTATGTTACCAAATTTGCTTTATTCTCCAAGAACAAAATTATTCTTTTTTGTGTGGCCAATTAAATAGTCCTGTCTCAAAATGTGGTTTTGATTAAACTTAACCTCAAAAAAACAATTTGATATTGTATGTATATTTAATTTCAGGTACATCTATAAACGACGTTCTGACGGAGTTCATATCATAAATTTACGTCGTACTTGGGAAAAATTGCTTTTGGCTGCAAGAGCTATTGTTGCTATTGAACATCCTTCTGAAGTTTTTGCTATATCATGTCGTTCTCATGGACAAAGAGCTGTTTTGAAGTTTGCTGCACATACTGGAGCAACACCTATTGCAGGACGTTTCACTCCAGGTAATTCTTGGTGAAAAACGTATAAATCCCATAAAGAAAAACCACCTTATATAATATACAACAAACAAGCACTCTAATTATTTTCCAATCAAAATATAGATAAATATATTAAATGAAAGGAAATACCGTTCAATTAATAATATGTGATGATAATTATCTAAGGAACCACTGATTTTTTGTGATTATAACTTGATCTGACATCAAAGAGCAAGCTTTAATATCTGAGAAGAACTCGGAAAGTAGATAACTATAGGAGAGAATTTTTATTTTTAGGTGCTTTCACCAATCAGATCCAGGCAGCTTTCCGTGAGCCCAGACTTTTGATTGTAACAGATCCAGCATTCGATCATCAGCCAATTACAGAAGCTTCATATGTTAACATTCCTGTTATTGCTTTTTGTAACACTGATTCGCCACTACGATTTGTGGATATTGCCATCCCGTGCAGCAACAAGGCACCTCATAGCATTGGACTGATGTGGTGGCTTTTAGCACGTGAAGTAAGTGCTAAAAATATTTCCTTGGTATTACACCTCTACCAATATGTGATGACAAAATATTGTTCCCACAGCGTTATGAATAACTATCTATGATTGCACAATTTTTCCAGCTGAGCTTATGTTTAAAAAAATAATTTAAATTCATCAAATTTTTAAGATTAACAAGCTGTCTTTTTTGCAGGTTCTTCGTTTACGTGGCCTTATCCCTAGGGATACAAAATGGGACGTGGTGGTTGACTTGTACTTCTACAGAGAACCTGATGAAGCTGAAAAGGAAGAACAAGTAGCCAAAGAACAGACAGTTGTAAAGCCTGAGATCGTAGCCCATGAACCTGCAGAAACTGATTGGGCAGAACCCCAGCAATGGGCCGACGAAGCCGTTCCGGTTGCCGCCGTACCTGCTGCTGCTGCTACTGCTGCTGCTACTTTTCCTCCTGCTTCTGATGACTGGGCCGCCCAAGTACAAGACGATTGGTCTGCAAATGCTACAGCAACACAACCCGCCCAACCTAACTGGGGTGGGGCTACTGATTGGCATTAAAATGTTAATCAATGAATTACCGAAAATGTAAAGTTTCGTTTTTAAATAAAAATTGAAACATGAAATTTCTGAGTTTGATACTACAATAACTTATTACCCCTAGAGTATTGCTAAACTTTAAACTTGAGAGCGTGATCTACAATATAAGTTAGCCTTCGTTCAACTCTGTTCTCTCAATAATCCTCCTCAAAATTGTTTAGTCTAGAGCAGGCCTTCTTAAACTATGGGTCGCGACCCCAAATGGGGTTGCGTAGCAAAATTCTGGGGTCCCAAGAGATTTGAATGTACATTGTTACCTAATAAACCATCAAAGAATGTTTATCTTTCTTTTATATTTATATGGGGTCGCCAGGAAATACAATCATAAATGGGGTCGTGAATGAAAAAAGTTTAAGAAGCCCTGGTATAGAGGAACACCTCGTTGAGATCTGACTTCAGAGTAATTTATGGAAATCTCTGAAATCCATACATAATTTAAACATCCTTCCAAATTCCTTGTATTCCTAGAAAGAAACTTTCTGTATCTATATTTAGTTGGCGTATTTAAAACTAAAAACTTTATTTGGTTTATATTATTAGGTCGATCCGTTAGGATCGACCCTCCAAAAATTCTCTTATAAACTCATTTGAGTTGTCCCCCTCCACGGAAATCTTTAGTAAAAGGCGAAAGATTTATTCGACCTGAAGGGAGACCAGAGTGACTAGTCGTTAATTTTGCTGGCGGCCTTAATAAATATGGTTCAAGGTTTGGTTACAAAGAAGACTTACAGTACCATCTGTCGGTAAAAGAAAAATCTCTTTCATTTTATTTTTATATTGATTCACACAGTTATTTTAATTATTCATACCCATCGCTGGAGTGTCGTATTTTGATACACATTTTTTTTTAATAACTCTTACAGTGAATGCTGAAAAATACTAAAAATGTTTCAATTCTCTTTTTTAACTGGACTAGGTACTAAAACTTGTAATGTCAGAGTCTTAATTAAATATTTTTAAATATCTTATTAAGAAACTTATTGAATATTTATATATTTTTATGAACAAG